CTTACTTGGAAAATAATATAACATCAATATGTTGGATTTTATTAATAAAGAATTCTCATCAGAGTGATATTATACCACAAATGGTGTTTCCACCATTATTCAAAATAAGAGAAAAATCAGAAATGTGAAGAAAAAGAAAAGTTATGATTAAAAATATTCCTCTACTCCAGTACAAGAATTAAAAATTGTAAAAATTATTATATATAATAAAGTTAAGAATAAAAATATAATTTATATGAATAAGTTTATAGTGGGGATTAAATTAATCATCCATTGATCTTTCAACATCTTTCCCCTTATTACTAGAATCTAATTATTAATTAATTAAAAAAAAAGATGTTAGTGATAACAATTAATAATTTAATTAACAAAATTTGTTTTTATTTACCATTGTTAAAGTCAATGCTTGAGAGAATATCATTAATATCAAGACTATTTAATGAACTGTTGTTACTTTTATAACTTTTTAAACTTTTTGACTTGGCAATTTCATCATCTAATATTCTACTTTTATGATATGCATCTGGGTGTGATTTGTGTACTTGTTGCAAATTATTACCAATGCCACTAGTAGTATTATTATTACTGCTATTAATATTATGTACTAACACTGTTGTGTCATTATTAATATTTTTAATAATTTCTTCTAGTTTATTATCAGCAAATATGGAAAGCTCTAGAATAGTTGGTCTTTTAGATGGATCCACATCCCAACATTTCTGCATCATTTGTGAATAGTCATTAGGCATTCCAGATAATATTGGTGGTTGTAAACCTTCACATATATCAAAAATTAAACGATGATTATGACCCCTATTATTAAATGGTGGATGGCCTGCAAATATTTCCCACATTAACATCCCAACACTATAGATATCTGTTTCTTTTGTGTTCTTTGCATTAATTTTGCCTCTAAGTAGCTCAGGTGCAACATATGATATAATTCCATAGATTTTATTTGATGATTTTTCATCAACTGGTCCACATAATCCTAAATCTGTAATATAACAACCACCTCCTTGCAATAATATATTACCACTGTGTAAATCACAATGAATTAAATCTTTTTTATGTATACGATATAATGAATCACATAAATAATCAAAGATTGTAATTCTATCTTTTAGTGTTAAATTAGAATGATTTTTTTGTAAATAATCCCTTAAATTTCCTTCCAGATGATAATCAAGAACCATTGCATAATTTCCATTATCTGGGAATTTAGTTATACCATTGCAAGGAACAATCAGTGGTGATTTAATTTTATAATAATTCATTGCCTGTAATTAAATATAAAATCAATTAGCATTGTATAACATAGTATTGTTTATTTTTGATTTAAATAAAAATTATCAACCTCATCAAAGAATGTTTTTCCTGGATTACTTGAATTATTTAAGCATTTTAATACTACTAGTTGTCTTCCATAATAACTAAATTTCTTTTTATTTTCATCATAATCAACTATATATCCCCTTGTCCATGCGGCAGTGTAAACTGAACTAAATCCACCTTCTGTTAATTTTGTTACTTCTTCGAATTGCTCAAAAGGTATCCATTCTAAAATATGGTTTGGCAGAGATGATTTCATTTGACATTGTTGAATAAAGTCATTAACTATGCTATTTCCAGATGTCCAAGTGGTGAAAAGACTCTGTAATTGTAAGCTAATACAACCTTCACAGAATCTATCAGAGTATCTTGTTGATTTACACTTGATACATTCTTTTGGTTTGCCCAATTTATAAATTGCATTATTCTTTTCAAAATCATAAATAAACTTTTCCTTACAAAATTGTTTTTCATTTTTAAGAAGCTCCTTATTTTCTTTGACTGATGAAAAAAAATAATCTTTTCTATTTTCTTTTTTAGAATTCAATATAGCAATATTATACATTTCAGCATTAATTTTAGCTACAAAGTTCCTTCTTTCTGGTGATAATAATTTATTAAATGACATTTTAACTTTATTTAATGTCTTATTATAAATAAATTTTAATTTATTATTGAATGGTGAAGAAATCAAAAACTTTTTTTTCACAAAATAAATTAATAAATTTTTGTACACGGTATATTTGTTGTGCGTGAATTTGGAGTCTGCGTCAAATTGAAATTCACGCGCGTGAAATTCAAATTAGCCAATCAGAATTTTTTATTCAAACACTCCCCCCAAAATTTAATTGGTAAATTTCAAATTGACACAAATTTGATTTTCACGCACAACATATTTATTTATTTATTTATTTTTTTCACAATTTTAATATGCATCGTTTTATTACAAGAGGTTTTAAATGCCCATCTACACACATCCATTTAACATAGGTTTGGTAATGCTTTTTTGACTCAAATCTTCTTGCAGAAGGATCAAGTATAAAATGCAGTAATATATATATGCATAAGATAGGATGCGAAAGATTTAAATACCAATTACAGTTTGTTCTTTATAATTTAGATGGGTTAATTCCTCTTCTTTTTATTATCATCTTCAAACAAGAGTTTGTTTTCGTATGTCATTTCAAATTTTTCTTAAATTCTTCTTGTGCGCATTTGTTTAACATAATACTAACTTTCCAAGTTGTGAAATGCATACTAGAATTCTCCTTCTCAGTAACATCACTATCTTCAAGAATGTTCTCTAAAAACATGGTGGTCAGTATAAATTTGCTTTCACTTTCAGAATCATTTGAAGACTCAATTTCATTATGATTAATATTAGATGCTGTAAATACATTATGACCAACAAAGTTTTTAAGTGGCTAAAATTTATTAAAAAAAAGTTATTTATTTTATGACCCAGGGTGCATATTAAAAATCTTACATGCATGATATAATGAATAAATTAATCATTAATTGATATTTCAACACCTTTTCCCTTATTATTATTAATTATTATTACTAGAATCTAATATTTATTAATTAATTAAATAAGAATGAGAAAGATTGTTAATAATAAATTAACAATTAATAATTTAATTAATTAATTAATGAAATTTTGTTTTATTCACCTTTGTTAAAATCAACATTTAAGAGAAGTGAGTTGATATCAAGATTATTTAATGAACTGTTGTTACTTGTATAACTTTTTAAGCTTTTTGACTTAGCAATCTCATCATCTAATATTCTACTTGTATGACATGCATCTGGATGTGATTTGTATGCTTGTTGCAAGTTACTAATACTACTGATATTACTATTATCATTATTATCAAGAATTTCTTTTAGTTTATTGTCAGCAAATTTCCGAAGTTCTTCAATAGTTGGTCTTTTTGATGGATCCACATCCCAACACTTCTGTATCATCTGTGAATAATCATCAGGCATTTCAGGTAATATTGGTGGTCGTAAACCTTCACATATATCAAAGATTAAACAATGATTATGACCTCTATCATCAAATGGTGGATGGCCTGCAAATATTTCCCACATAAGCATCCCAACACTATAAACATCTGTTTCTTTTGTGCTCTTTGCATTGATTTTGCCTCTGAGTAGCTCAGGTGCAACATATGATATAATTCCATAAATTTTATTTGATGATTTTTCATCAACTGGTCCACACAGTCCTAAATCTGTAATATAACAATTACCTCCTTCTATTAATATATTACCACTATGTAAATCACAATGAATTAAATCTTTTTTATGTATATGATACAATGAATCACATAAATAATCAAAGATTGTAATTCTATCTTTTAGTGTTAAACTATAATGATTTTTTTTTAAATAATCCCTTAAATTTCCTTCTTGAAGATAATTAAGAACCATTGCATAATTTCCATTATCTGGGAATTTAGTTATACCATTGCAAGGAACAATCAATGGTGATTTAATTTTACAATAATTCATTGCCTGTAATTAAATATAAAATCAATTAGCATTGTATAATACAGTATTGTTTATTTTTGATTTAAATAAAAATTACAAACCTCATCAAAAAATGGTTTTCCTGGATTACTTGAATTATTTAAACATTTTAATACTACTGGTTGCCTTCCATAATAACTAAATTCGTTTTTATTTTCATCATAATCAACTATATATCCCCTTGTCCATTCTGCAATATAAACTGAACTAAACCCACCTTCAGTTAATTTTGTTACTTTTTCAAATTGCTCAAAAGGTATCCATTCTAAAATATAAGCTGGCAGAGATGATTTCATTTGACATTGTTGAATAAAGTCATCAACTATGCTATTTCCAGATGTCCAGGTAGTGAAAAGACTCTGTAGTTGTAAGCTAATGCAACCTTCACAGAATCTATCAGAGTATCTTGTTGATTTACACTTGTTGCATTCTTTTGGTTTGCCCCTTTTATTTCTTGCAATATTTAATTCAAAATCATAAATAAATTTTTCTTTACAAAATTGTTTTTCATTTTCAAGAAGATCCTTATTTTCTTTGACTAATGAAAAAAAATAATCTTTTCTATTTTCTCTACTAGAATTCAATAGAGCATTATTATACATTTCACTACGAATTTTAACTACAAAGTTTGTTCTTTCTGGTGATAATAATTTATTAAATGACATTTTAACTTTATTTAATAAATATATTTTGGAAAAGGTAAATTTTAATTTATTATTGAATGGTGAAGAAATCAAAAACTTTTTTTTCTGTACATAAAATTTAACAAAATAGATTAATAAATTTTGTACGCATGTATGTTTATTTTTTATAAGCAATTTTAATGTTCACCATTTTATTACATGTTTTAAATGCCCATCTACACACATCCATTTAGCATAGGTTTGGTAATGCTTTTTTTGACTCAAATCTTCTTGCAGAAGGATCAAGTATAAAATGCAGTAATATTTATATA